GCGAACTCTCTCAACCAAGCTGTAGCTTCCGACGAACTCATGAGCCACGGATTCCACATGGAACTGTGATGGTTCCAGGAGCGCAGCCCCTGATCTAAGCCCGCCGCCGTCTGGTTGTCGATCACGGTGCTGATCCAGTTTCCGAAGCCCGGCCAATATCCTAGGCCTAAAAAGGGAAGCAAACGTGTCTTGGCCTCCTTGGTCTGAGCGGTCTTATGATCCGTGGTCCACATGGTCCACATCACAGTGCCCTCAAACTCATCTATCTCGAGACCCCCGGCACTCCTGAAATCGCTCCATCTTCCAACCCCAAAAATGCACTTCAAGAGCTGACCTGCGATCATAGACACGTGGGGCTCTTCTGCGGGGTCTCCTGCATGTCCAACGAGTTTCTTCACGACTTCGACCGGGATGGCTGGAGCTTGCGACCTCACCTTTTTCTGCACAAACATAGAGTGCGCAGCTCCCTTTACCCTGGGTGAATCAAGCTCGGCAATGGTGACTTTAAGGAACCCGAACATGCCGTGAGCGAACCTCATCGCCTCCAAAAGGACTGACGCCGTACTGGTGCACTTCTCCGTCTTAAGCTTCTGTAAATACAAGTAGAGATTGGCCTCGTCTGCCGTAAACGGGGAAGTGACACCCCGACCCGCCAAAAATGCAGCATATCTCCACAGAGAGCCAGACCTTTTGACTAGGGTTCCCGTCGACTTGGGGGACAAAATGTCCCTGAGCGTCTCGATAGCCCTAGCTTCGTCACTGCAAAGCCCCGCTATATCTGTCATCTGTCGCCCTGCTCTAGTGGCCAATGGATCCAGTAGAATCAGCACCTTGAAGCGATGTAATGCTCTAGCCCTATCATCCTCCGGTTGCCCCGCCCTCACAGATCTCAACCTTGCTTGGTTAATTGATATTGGCTTCGGGGGCTCGATATCGAGATTGATATTCCGCGGAGGTATGGGTGCAGGCAACCGCGTCATCGACAAAGGACGGTAGGGCCCCCACTGTCCGCCAAATAGAGCAGCTAAGGGTCCCCTCTCCCAAGGCATGGTAATCTTGACTGGGATCGTGGACTCTACCGCCCCTCGTATGTCCAAGGGCAAAGTTTGCATCTGTCCAGGTGCGGTGGAGCCTCCCAGCCTAGGCAACTTGGCCGCCGGCTGCTTCGTGCTGATACTTCGAACTGTGTTGCTGCATTCGGAAGCTGCTTCAACCTCGATCCAAGAAGATCCTGAAGCTGCACCCGATTCGTTGGCACCGTCGACATCTTCCGATAGCCGTTGAACACTACCCCCGGGTTCTGAATCATCTGATAAGGATGTAGCCCACCTCTTACGGAATCCACTGATGTTATGATACCACGGGTCGAGGTCCATCCCGATTGCCCCCCCGTGTTTGGGGGCGAAAGCAAAATCAATCAGACCCCCCCGCAGTTTGGGGGAAAAGCAAAGAGGGACCTAAGCGCTACCAAGAAACGTGTAACATGTGCGTGTGACAAGACAGACCGTCACCGAGCCACTGTCCTGCCTGCCTCCCGCCTATAGTCTTGTCCTCGAGGATGTCGACGGTCCTGGCAGTTGCATTACTGTAAGAAGGAACGACAGGCTTCGGGAGGCCTGCCGGGTGCAGGCAGCTATTCAACCAAGCGTGGATGAAGCGACCTCCAGGTTAGGTGATTACGCTAGCTCGCAAAAAGTGATATTCGCGCCTCCAGTAAGGCAGCTTCTCGGACCTGGCTTGTGCAGGGGGGCGTTCAGCCTAACGCGAAGCCCCTGATCGCCGAGACCGGGTCCGGAAGTGACGCTGATCCCTGAATGTCAGGCCGACCTGAGTGGCTTCCACGGGGTGCTCAATGACTCTCCAGAATGAGTCCACGGCCTCCAGTTGGGACCTGGCACCCGGAGTTTGAAAGCCACTGTTAGTCTCCAGTGAAGTTTTGTGACGGGCCTCCGGGTAGGCAGTCCGAGTTCCTGACAGGTGCCACGATTTAAGGAGGTTGTCGCAAGATCAGTCTCGCAGCCTCCAGTGTGGCCCGAGAGCTTCCCCCTGCCAATCGGATGATCACCGGGCTCGTTAGGCAAAACCCCCGAAAAGAAACGAGCCTGCCGGAAGAAAAGGAAGCCCACCAGAAAGGCCGGCTCCCCACTGCCCTAGCCCCGAATGCTGAGGCCAGCAGGAATAGGCGAAAGCAGGCATCTGCCACTAAACGGAGCACGCTGCGGAAAAAGGAAAAACTGGTCAAGGTCGACAGCGAGAGCTTCTTTTTCTGCCAGGGCCCACGCATCAAAACTGCAGACAGCACTCGTACGGCAGCTTCGAAAAGCAGCACTGGAACGGAGCGACAGGAGACTATCTGCTGACAGGAACAGGTAGCGATGGGCGGCACCAAAAGTAAAGGCTCGACTGAGGAACATCACTGCCGGGCCAGGCTCTGTCGCGAGAAATGCAATCACGAAGCCGGTGCACCTCCGCTAAGCATCACTGATAGCGCATGGCCCCTGTCGGGAGGATCTTGAAGAGCAGCGACCGCGGCCTGGATTTCGTCAAGGGCGGCGGAGTGCTCGCTGAGCAACGTGCAGTGGCCCTTTTCCTTTGCCTGGAGATCGGCCACCTCGGAGGTCAAAGTAGCAAGCGCAAGCTCCAGCGAGGCACGGGGGTCCGGGGAACTCGAGGTAGGCCTCATCGACTCCCCTGGTGTCCCAGGCGCGTCTTCCCGGACCTGCTCCCCCAAGTGCTGCACCACACGCATCTGGAGATCTCCAACAAGGTCGGCCACCCTGCCCAGCTGATCCTGGAGAAGGGCATGCGCTCCCTTGACGCGACGAAGCCCTTCGGCGAGATCACGAACCCTGCCGCCCCAAAAACTCACGTCAGCAGCCAGGGCCCTCTGCTGGTTCTCCAAGGAGAGCACGCGGTCCGCGAGGGTAGGCGGAGACGAAGCACCCTCGATGAGTCCCATGAGCTGGCCAATAGCTGCGACGCGCTCGTCCGTGGCTGAGACACGGATCGGCACATCCTCCATGTCTTCTGCAGGATGCAGGTCCTGGCGGCGATGAGCCTCGGTATCGCTGTCTTC